CATATATGCACTATTTTACCTAGCAATTCCATTTGGAATCTACCCCACAGAAATAAAACTTCAGGCTGTGGAGATATATGTACAAGTATGTTTATTGTAGAGTTGTCTTTAGTGGCGAAAACTGGAAACAAAGTAAACATGCACAAAGGGGAATGAGTGTATAAATTAGGTGCATCCATACCATAGGAATAATACATAGCCGTTGAAAAGAATGAGTTAAATCTTTACATGTTGATTCTGAAGCATTTGGACAAAGTAGTTATTAGCGGGAAAAACAAAATGCAGACAACATATTTTTACATGCTTACATGGAGTATTGTGTGTTTGTATTTCTGTCTATATAATATTAAAGAGTCTGGACAAATAAGGAAGGATTTATATACTAGGATGCCAACAACAGTTTACTTTGAGGTAGATGGGCCTATGCTGTGTCCAAGAGGGAGTTCAGTGCAAAGGGGAGCCAAGGAAAAAAGGATAAGAAAAAAAAAAAAAAATCAGCTTTTTGGAAGAAAAAAATATATAGAATCTTATCTATACATTTGTGCAAAGAAAGTGGCAAAGAAAGTTATCACATTATAGAACAGGGCTATGCTAGAGGAATCCTAGGTGGTGCAAACGGTTAATGCATTTAGCTGCTAAACTAAGAGTTGGGAGTTCAAGTCTACACAGGGGCACCTTGGAAGAAAGTCCTGGTGATCTACTCTGAAAAATCAGCCATTGAAAACCCTACAGGGTGCAGTTCTACTCTGACACATGTGGGGTCACCATGAGTCAGAACTGACTCTACAGCAATTGGTTTTGGATGCTAGAGAAGGTTCCTCCTCACCGTGTGTGTGAACACAGGATACCCTCTGCTGCTGTGTGGCTGAGGCCCATCACGAGTAGGCACTGGTCTCTGTGGGGGAAGATATTAACTTAAGGACTCCTAGGACTGGCAGAGGAAACCCTTGTGGCACAGTGGTGAAGAGCCACATCTGCTAACCAAAAGTTCAGCAGTTCCGATGCACCAGGTGCTCCTTGGAAACTCTATGGGGCAGTTCGACTCTGTTCTGTAGAGTTATGATGAGTCAGAATCGACTCCATGGCAACGGGTTTAGGACAGGCAGAGGGAAAACCGGATCCTAGACAAGTTTATCAATCCAGGTGTTTCTTCAAGTGAGCGTGTGTGTGTGTGAGAGAGAGAGAGAGCATATACGTGTACGTGCACCTTAACGTCTTTGTAAAGCATTTGAGAACCCGGATAGGAATTGAGATGAGCATTGGGGTCCAGACTGATCTGAACTGTAGTAACATTGGGCTTTGAAAGAGACTTGCTTTGATTAGCTCTTGAGTGTGAAGCAACATGGCACTACCAGCTATGAGAAAATGGGCATAGGAACGAGGAACCTCGGCAAGCCGCATGCACATACCAGGGCCAGGAGTGCAGCTCACCGCGGGCGGCTTAGCAAATCTTTCACATGAATTTAGGGCTCTGGTTTAGAAACCATTTAGAAACTTTTTTCAGGCTACAGAAAGTTCTCCCCACCCAGGAAGATCAATCATCCCCTTTACCTCCGTCAGGAAGTGGAGCTGGTGTGTGAGGAAGTCCTCCTCACAGGTGGCAAAGAGGAACAAGACTTTGGTTCCATTCTCCCTGCAACTGAGCTGTCCTGGACTGAAGATTAGATAAGAGGGAAGGAGGGACAGGTGAGGGAATGGAAGACGCTAGGTGGGGTGATTCGACTTGCCTCTCACAGGCGCTGAGCTGAGACCTGAATGAAGCAAGAGTCAGCCATGCAAGGATCTGAGGAGACAGCATTCCAGGCATTCCCTCTGCAAGGGCCCTGAGGCCAGGATAAGTATGACAGCCACAGGAATAGACAGTCAGTGTGGCTGGGTCTTATTGAGCTAGGTGGAGAGTTGTATGAACTTGAAGAGGGACAGGTGGACAGGGGAAAATCAGAAAGAGCCTTGAAGGTCAGAGTAAGGAGTGTAGATGTTATTCTAAGTTAGAGAGGCAGCCTTTGTGGGGCTTTCAGCAGAGTGACGGTTGGATGTATAAAACCTAGGTCTAGAATATTCTCCTTTTCACTCCCAGCCTCTTTGCATCACTAACGGTTCTTCAGGTCTCTCTACAGATACGATTTTCTGCCCTATCCCTGATAGCCCTCATTGTCTACTTTAGTCGCCCGCTCCTCCAGGCTCATTCGGGACCCTGTATCTTGGCTCATCATAATACCGTTGGTTTTGTGTGGTTAATTGCTTCTTTCTCCTTCAGTAGATTGTAAGCCTCGCCCCTGCTGTATCCCCAGTTCCCAGCGCTATTGTTCAATAGATCAACTTGCACCACCAATGTAGGATAAGCTGGTAAATATTTATACTTTTGGTTTCCTTAGCCACTCCTCTCCTCTCCTCCCCAAGTAGGAGTAAAGTTCCTTCTGAAAATGTCAGCGTGCCCCCACCAGACAGGGAGAAAGAGGAAAAGAGCTTTATACAGCTTCGGAGGAAAAACCAAAGGTGGAGAATAATTCATTCATTCATTTTCTCTCTGTGTGTTTCTGTCTCTCTCTCCCTCTCTCCCTCTCTCTCCCTCTTACACACACATACACACACTCACACACGCTTCGCCCTCAGCCCTGCGAGGTGGTGGAGGCAGCAACGAGAGATTCAAGGTGGAGAAGGCATGGACACAGGGTCAGTACCCTCTCATTCCCTTCCACACGAAGGATCTCCTATGTTGCCCCCTCTAAATAAGGGGGCGCTCTTTTTTCAAGGCATGACTGGAATTTTCTCTTTAGAGTTTAGGGGCACCTGGGAGGACAGGGGCAGAGCAAGCTGCGGTTCCTAGAAACACTGAAATCCCAGGCTTCAACAAAACCAGAGTGAACTCGGAGATTCCCCGCACTCTGGAGGGGATCTGGTTTTAGCCTGGCCTAAGTCAGTACAATTAATTTCCGATCCTTAAAGCGCTTCTTGGTAGATACTTTGCGCGCTCGCCGCAGAGGCGCGCGACCAGACAGAGCTAGTGCATAAACATAGCTCCCCGGGAGGGTGCCGGCGTGCGCCAACCCGAACCTCTGCGTTGGGACAGTGCCACCCATCTCCACCCGCGTTCCGCAGTTCCGAGGCACCTCAGTGGAAGGGTAGGGGGGCGAGGAGGGGCAGAGGGGTGCCTTGGCCCCAGGATATCTCCGACGATTCAATTCCCCAGCGGAACTGCATCTCTCAAGGCAACCCGGCTGGAACGTGCTCAGCCCATCTTGGCTTCTCTAGAACGGTTCGCGCCAACTGGCGAGCCCTTCCCCACCTCCTCCCAGTGCCTGGCACTAGTTCAACGGTTTGAAATGGCCTTGGACTTGGAGATGAGGCCTTCAAAGCCCGCCGGGGGCGGAGCGGGGTGCGGGGAGAGTAGAGAGGAGGAGGGCAGACTGTCTCCAGTCCCTAGGTAAACTGGGAGGGAGACAGGGGGAAGAGTCCCGCACACCACTCCCAGCCACGCTCTGACCCGCGGGCTCTGGGGACTTAGAGGCAGAGGCTGCCAGGTTCCCTGGCGGCGAGCGCGAGGCTGCAGTGGATGCTGGCGGACGGCCCAGAGCCGCGCGTCTGGACAACAAGCTGCTTACGGGTGGCTCCTGAGCTCACCAAGCTTCTCAGGGAGCCCAGTCCAGTTCCCCGTGCCTGGAAGAAGGGCTCAGTCGGAGGGTTCAGCCGGAGCTTCTCCTGGAATGAGAGGTCAAGCCACAAGGGTGGTTGGGGAAGGTGTCCCCAAAGCTTCGATCCCATCGCTGTTCCCAGGGTAACATACCTGCTCCGGAAAGAAACTAAGGATTTGAGCGGGGTGGTGGGGAGGCGGGTAGGTGCTTTCTAATCACAACCCCAGGAAAGTTGTTTTCCGGACACCTGGAATCTGGCATCCTCGCCTCTCGCTTCTGCTAGTAGCTGGAGCGAGCCTGCGGTGCACTCTGGCTGGAGCGCCGCCCGGAGCGCAGCGCTGGCACGTCGTCCCCACACTTGCCTGACTCCCACCTCCACAGCAGGCGCCTCTGCAGAGCTGTCGCAGCGCTCAGGGCCGCGCTCCCTAAGTGTCTTCCGCCCCAGCTGTTTCTCAAATCCGTCCTTTACCCCCGGCACCCCCGGGGCAACTGTGGTTTCAGCTGTGGACTCCATCTGGCGCAGTTACTCCAAAGCCACCTGCCGCCCCCTCGCGGAGTCTGCGCCGGGCCACCCGGCTGACAGGCGCTCAAGCAGGTAGCGGCAAAAGGCGTGGTGGCTGCAGCGGTGGGGTGAGACAGTTGCCAACAGCTGGTGCGGCTGCCGCGCTGCGCACAGGGACTAGTGAGTACGCAATCCAGGTACTGCCCCTTCCCGGTGACGTCTCTGTAGCGGATTATAAAAGCCTCAGGCGCAACGCCTCCCGAGGTTCTGCTAACTCCCGAGCCCAGCGGGACCCGAGCCAAGAGGCCCCTGCGAAGCTGCAAGCGGCGGTGGCAGCAGCGGCAGCGAAAGCAAAGGAAAAATCTCCAGCTGAACACAGGACCCCTTCCTGGACATAGACTCAGAACTTTCACAGATCTCTCTGTGACGGATCGCCCCTAGTGCCAAGTACTCACGCAGCGCAAGGCTTCGCGTTTCCCGCCGCAGAAAGGGGGAGTAAGGCTTGCAAGGAGCAGCAGGTGCAGAAAGGCAGGGAGGGTTCTCCTGCCGTTTGGAATCGGAACTTGTGGAATTTCTTTTCCTCTCAACGCAGGGGAGACGCTATCCCCAAATTTCTGAACTCCAACGCTTCGCGAAGCTTGAAAGTGGAGGAATTCAGAACCACGAGGGGCAGACAGACAGCGCATCCAGAAGCGTTTATTTTCTGAGCGCCAAGTCTCCTGCTTGCAAGGAGAGAGTTCTGCCCAGAAACAGCCTTCCACCCTCCTGTCTGGGTTAAGCAGGCCTCTGAACTCCGGGCGGCGGTACAGGACCCTGCTGCAAAGGGGGTGTGTGCAGAGACGAGGACTTAACCGCCTAGCATCGGAATGGATAACGTCCTCTCAGTGGACTCAGACCTCTCCCCTAACATCTCCACCAACACCTCAGAGCCCAACCAGTTCGTGCAGCCGGCCTGGCAAATTGTTCTCTGGGCAGCTGCCTACACAGTCATAGTGGTGACTTCCGTGGTGGGCAACGTGGTGGTGATGTGGATCATCTTGGCCCACAAGAGAATGAGGACAGTGACCAACTATTTCCTGGTGAACCTGGCCTTCGCGGAGGCCTCCATGGCCGCGTTCAATACAGTGGTGAACTTCACCTACGCTGTCCACAACGAGTGGTACTACGGCCTGTTCTACTGCAAGTTCCACAACTTCTTCCCCATCGCTGCTGTCTTCGCCAGTATCTACTCCATGACAGCCGTGGCCTTTGATAGGTGAGCTTGCCCCTTGTAGACAAGGGAGGAAGAGTCCACAGAGGACCATGGCGCTGCCATGGAGGTTTGGAGTTGGACGGTGGATGGTCCAAGGTGGAGATTGGCCGCTAGTGTTGTGGGAGGGGGGGTATTTATGACAGCACCTGAGTGAGTTGTTGATGCGGAACTTGATCTTATCTCACCACTCTCTTTTCTAGTTCCTCTCTCCTGTCCTCCCGTTTCACAGATCCTTTCCTCACATACCCTTTTTTTCTTCATTTAATCTCCCTTTCTTCATCCCTTCTCCACAAATCTCCCTGACACTTTCCTTAGAACCCCTGCCTTGCCCCTTTCCGTAGATTCTTTCTCTCCTTTACCCTGAGGGCTTGAAGCGTTTACCCAGGGCTTACAAAGGTTTGGCCAAGGGGCCGTCCCCTGCCTGGGGCTTTGTGCTTCCCTTCAGGTCTGCTATTCTGTTGGGCAGCCTCTTGTTGCCTTTGTGTTTTGTTTAAATATTGCCTAAGTGATATTTCTTATTTTTTTCTTTTTCCTGAAGATTCGGGGACTTTCTGCTTCCACCTTAACTGTCCAATAGAGTTTTGATATGAAAAGCATTTCATCAGAAAGATAAGAGCCTCAGGATTCTAATTCAGCTCCTCCTATGCCATTAGAGGTGCTCATGCAGAAATGCGAGGCAGCCACATGGTTCTTAAGGAATTCCACGGACAGGGATCCGGGGGCTTACCTGCGAGTTTTTCTAAATATCTCTTGCAATGTAAGGTCATTGTTTTTAGCCTGTCTGTATCCACAGACAGACTTGCTTTGCAAAGGCAACTGAGAGCGCTTCCTTTTCTGCAACCAACAAACAGGTTAGGGTTTCAGAAGCTGATTGAAAGTGAAAAGATTGGCATTTTCAAACACTAGGGCTCCGTCCTGGAATGAATTGCTCTGCAGGTGGTATGATGGCAGGTTGATGATCAGAGTGCAGCTCTATTGGAATTGACTTTTCCATGGGTGTCTTAGGTCTCTAGTACGTATGCCTCTGTGTGCACAGGTCTTAAATACTTACCTGGGATTGGAGGTATGTTTAAAACACCTGCCACTATGATTTTAGGATGGGTTCTTTTGATGTTTTTGCTGAAGGAAATAAATGCAAGTAACCCAAAGGAGCTAGGTGGAAAACATCAAAAAAAAAAAAAAAAAAGAAAAATCCTAAACTACTAAACCCTTTTCTTTAAAAACTGTTTATGATTTGCAATTGATATGAGGTCTCTTTTGGGTTCTGTAGTCAATGAACACTTTTTAAATCAAGGAAATCTATTTTCCCACCCTTCATCCAAATGCTGATTTGTGAGGTCTGTGTACACCTTCCTTTATGCAACTCTCATGTGCTTGATAAATTGTGTGTAAAACAAATTGTAGTGAATCAATTTATCTTTGAAATGTAAAGGTAAACCAATTATTCAAAGTGGTAGTGAAATGAATTATTATGTACATTCATCTTTTACGCTACTCTGGTTTACAAATATTCCGTTTGCTGAAGGTGAGGCTTGTAAATCTTTATGCACTGACTTGCTTCTTTAACGTGACAGCAGCCCCCCTTAAACTTAGAAAAGCCATAGAATGATATATAACCAAATATAGGTACAGGGAGATCTGATGCCATTTCAACCTCACTCGTGCTTTCTTGATGACCCCTAAATTAGGGGGAAAGTTGGTATTTTGTACTGTGTTGGGACCTTGCATGAACTATGGGGACACCTGCCGGTCAGTGTGGTAGGAAGCATTCATTAGCTGATGGAGCATCAGCATACAGCTCTCTCCTCTTTGGTCTACATGGAAAGACCACCTTCCATAGCCTTGCTCTTTCCCTTGAACTTAGAAGGTTGGGAGAGGGAGTCAGGACCAGGGTTCTCATGGGCGTTGCCTGGGAACCAGATTTGCGTACAAAGACCCTGGTGTCCCCAGATCCACTGCTGTTTTTCTCCAGACCAACCATAGGCAGGACCTTGACCCTGAGTGAGATCAGAGGATCTCAGGTGCCAGAGCTGAAGAAATTGACAGCAGTAAGAAATGTCCTCATGTCTATTATACAGATGTGGCCCAAGGAGAGTACCAACAAGATACTGGAGGTTACAGAGTGTAGGGTAGATTAAGGGTTGAGGCCCAGGTCTCTGTCTCCAAGTGCTCCTTCTATTTTTCCTTGCTTAGCCTTACTGAGTGTAAGATTAATCCCCTGAGGCCTCTGTGGTGAATGCAGCTCCCTGGCATACAAGTCTTCCCCAAGAATGTTTTAGAAACGGAGGAGGTCTTACTTCCGCTCCACAAGAATGTTCTCTCCTTTCTCCACTATGGAAATCCAGACTCTGAGAAATGTTAAAATATCTTTTGTACGTTCCCTGAATTTTTAACAGACAACCTTTGAATTAAGCCTAAAAACAAGCAGCAACATGGATTTCCTGATTGTGAAATTAACCTTCACTCATTGCAGAAGACTCTGGAAGCACGAAAAGCATAGACACAAAAATATGTATCAACCATTACCTCACCATCCCCAAAATAACACTTGTTAACATTTTAAATATATCTTTTATGAGTATTAAACTATGTAATTGAGGTCAGACTCTACATAATATTGTATCTTACTTTTTTTCCCCCGACTGGTATTGATGGTGAACAATTCCCCATGTTATTAAAAGATCATCAGAAACATAATTTCAGTGGTCTCATATTATTCTAGTATATGAATGTGCTATTATTAATTTAACCATTTCCCTACTGTTGGGTACTTTTGTGATTTCTACATTTTTCACTATTATGATTAATGCTCTAATGAGTATGCTTGAGAATTTTGTTTTGCATTTTTGATTATTACTCAGCATAGATTCTCAAGAGTGGAATTACTGGGTCAAATGAAATTGATTTTTAAAAAACCTTTCCCTCTAATTTTAAAGGCGTATAAACTCTGGGCAGAGCAAAGATCATGTCTGTTCTGTCTTGTTCGCTTTTGTCTTCTCAGCACATAGTAGGGTGTTTGGCACCTAATAGTCACATTTTACAGAATGAGTAAATAAATGAACGAACTAATACATGGTCCCATAAGAACGTTTGGGAAATACATATAATTGTAAGAAAAACTGTAAAAAATCACCTACAATCCCACTACTGACAGATAACCAGCTAAACTCTTGGAATGTTAGCTTGTAATTATTTTTTCTCTCTGACACATGGGGTCGCCATGAGTCAGAATCGACTCGACCGCAACTAAAGACAACAACATTGTTTATGCCACATACATTCGCTCAGACGTTAAAGGGTAAATTTTGAGTCATAATAAAAACGGTTTTAATGGCTTTTTTTCCTTCTTTAATACTATATCATGAGAATTTCCCACGCCATGGCATATTTTTCAAAATAGAAATTTTAATTGCTGCATTATCTTATATGGCTGTAATCATTAACCATTCCTTTATTTTTAGATATAAATTGTTTCAATTTTGCATCATTACAAGTAACTTGGAAATGAACATCCTGGACATAAATCTTTGAGAACATCTCTGGTTCTTTCTTTAGAATAAATCACTTGACATGGAATTGCTGGGTCAAACTGTCTTGGTACACTTGCCAAGTTTGCCTCTAGAAGCAAAATGTACATAGAGAAAAAACTTCAGCTGCAGATTTTACTACTAATTAAAATCTCTCCTGTAACATTTCTATAAAATGGGGAAAGGAGAGGGAGGAAAAAGAGAGAATGAGAAATGGAGGAGAAGGAGAGAAAGAGCTGGAGGAAGTGAAGGAGGAGGAGGAGAAAAAGTGAGGGAGAGACAGAAAGAACGCTATCCCTTTTGGAAGGATTATTTATTAAAGACAGTGGGTACCGAGAATTTAAAAAAATTGCAGAGACAAATATAACTTAAAAAAAGGTCAGATGTACCTCTAATTAAATTCCAACAAACACCAGTGATTTTACTTCTTGGAACTCTGCAAGTTTTTCCCCTTAAAATTTGTTTAAAATTCTTTCCCACTGTAAAAACTAAAATGCATGTGTGATGTTTCATGAAATTAGAAGCTGGAGGATACTGAGGGGCGACAATCCCAGTGTGCAGCGGTGGTGACCGAGTGGATGATTCTAGTATTACAGAGCAACATCTGAGAAGGGAGCAGGGGAACCAATCCCCAGGCCCCACAGGAAGGGCTGAAAGGGCACAGGGAGACTGACTTGGAGCCACACGTGCAGCAACAGGAGGCTCAGAGAAGCACTGGCCCGATGTCTCTGCTTCTGTACCTGGGAAGGAGAGATCAACTTCAGGGAGAGGGAAGGCGAAGCTTATTCATTAATTAGACTGGTTCTGGATATGTTATGTTTGAATGAAAGGAAACATTCAAATGTCAGTGGCCTGTGGATAATATGAGATATGGTCAGGACCAAAGATAGAATTGCCCAGATAGATGTAATGGCTGAAGGCAATTGAGAGAATGAGCTCCTTGAGAAAGTAAAAGAAGAATTGAGAGCCAACACAAGCATAAACAACAAAAACACTGCCCATGGATCTCTGGTGTCCATACCAACCTGCCCCAGCCATACCCAGCTACCAGCTTAAATAACCTGCTTCCCAGGTCTCTGCTTGACTTGCAATCTGTCCTTGAACTTCATCTTGTTGTCTGAACCTGGACCCCATTGTCTGTCTCGAGGCAATCTTCCCCCACCCTACCCAGGGTCAAGACTCAGATTCCAGGATCCTTTGTGCATATTTAGATGGACTGGAAACCTGTGACAAGCACCCCTTTGATGCTGAGAATGGCTATTCAATAGAAACTCATCCACAACACCTGCCCCTGTCTTCAAATCAGGAAACTGAATGTCAGTGTTGACTTGGATCAAACTTGAGTTTGTTATACCTTAGGTTGGTTAGTTAGGCTGCAAGCCCTTTCCTGTAGGGTTCAATGCCTACCTCCTCTCAGGCTCTGCCCCACTAGACTTGCCACATTCTGTCCCTACTTCTGGGAACCCCCAATGCCCT